TTAACTCCTCCCCTTCTGCCCTTTCCCCAGGTGTCACGTCGTTGCCCATCCCCCTGGTGGCGGGGGCTGCAGCTGGTGTGCTGGCTCTGGTTTTACTTCTACTCCTCCTCTGTCTCTGTGTGAGGAAAAGGAAAGGTGCGTGGGCACAGGAGAGAGGTGGGTGTGAAGGGGGAATCTGCCATTCAGGATGAAAATTCAAGTCTCCGTATCAAGGAGATTCTGGGTAATTTGGTAGCTGTATGATGCTGGTGCAAAAGGGAGAGATGGTAGGAAGGGGAACGGGACCTACTATTTGGGATTCAGGTGCCTTAACGTGGGACAGGATCACTCCAAGAGACGTTATGTTGATTCCCTCCTTGGCAGGCTCCAGGTGGTCGATAAACAGAACCAAGAAGGATGGCTCCATTGGCAGTTACTCGCCGATACCCCTGGCATCAATGAACCCAGACACTTTTTAGCCTCTGCGGGAACCCACACCGCTCTTTCCCACCCTGCTGCCTTAGTTTTCCCTCAACGTGTCATAAGGTTAATGAAGAGCCATGAAGCTTACGACGCTGAGGTCTCCGTCTCACGAGTGGTCACGTGCCAGGTCTCCTGCCCACTTCGGGGTGAGCAGAGAACCCCTTGTGCCGAAAATGTCCCCAACCCAATGAAATAAGATTGCGTCTCTTTACTTGTCGCAGAGAGTCTGGGAGTGTTTGCGAGGAAGGAGGACGTTTCGATTCTCCTAACGTTTCAGCAGATCTCCCTCCTTTGCCATGAGGATTGAAGACGATGTGAATCACTGTAAATTCCCTGTCTCCTCTTTGGTATTAAACACCCCTCTAATCTCCTAAGGCAGGGTGGGGAATCTTTTTGGGGCTGGGGGGCCACGGAGCCGCAGAAAAATCAGTCAGGGTCACAGACTAGCAAGAAGCAGGGAATAAAACACCCTCACTGATCTGACCACCAAATGAGAAGCAAGGAAAAAGACTCCCCCTTGCTCCCCTTAAACTCCAGCCCAATGGAGGTGGGGGAGGTGCTGAGGATCAGAGTTACCCCCAGGGTTGGATTAACTCTTCTGGTACCTGGGGCTAGTCCCATGAGGCTCTGCAAGAATGGGATGGAGATGGGGGTGGGGTCTGGATGGGAGGAGGGTGCAGAAGCAGGGTGGAGATGTGGGCGGGGTCTATGCAGAGCGGAGGGGAGTTTGGGAGCGCTTTCCTGCAGCACACAGAGCCGTTTCCTGCCCCCTAGCAGGGTCTACAGCTGTGGGGAGCTGAGGGGTCACTCATGCCACTGCGGGGTGGGAGGATGAGCCCCACGACTGTTACCAGATTTGCCCAATACTCTGGGGTGTGCTCATTTATTAGGGTTACACTGACGGGGCCGGAGGGAGGTTCACAATTCTATCCGATTGTAGTAAAAACTAAGTGTGCTTCTTCCCCTCCATTGCTTAAGCTCGAAACAGCACGTATCATTTTGCTGATTGCGCAGGCCTTAGTAGCTGCTAAACTTTCTGCTAGCTCTTTTTCTATAAGGGTATGTCTACACTACCCCGCTAGTTCGAACTAGGAGGGTAATGTAGGCATACCGCCTGTGCAAATGAAGCCCAGGATTTGAATTTCCCGGGCTTCATTTGCATAAGCCGGGCACCGCCATTTTCAAATCCCGGCTAGTTCGAACCATGGAATGAGGAAGCCTAATCCGAACTAGCTACTCCGTGCCGCATGTAGCCACGCGGCCCGGGGGTCGAACTAGCCGGGATGAAGCACCCGCAGCACCTGTCTGGCATAAATTGCTAGTTTCGTCCCCTGGAGGCTAGTCCAATTTGCCTCAAGAAGACAGTCACGCTTTCTGGCTGGGTCCAACTCCATTTTATTGTTTGCAAACAAGGTTGACAGAGGAGCTCAGTGCTCAAAGCAAGGTCGACCACGGGCAGCACCCGAGCTGAAACTTTTATGGATTCCACATTCCTTCTGGCCAGCGTGTCGCAACGTGATTGGTTACTGCAAGTTTATTTAGTTCCCTCTGGGTATGTCTACACTACCCCGCTAGTTCGAACTAGCGGGGTAGTGTAGACATACCCAGAGGGAACTAAATAAACTTGCAGTAACCAATCACGTTGCGACACGCTGGCCAGAAGGAATGTGGAATCCATAAAAGTTTCAGCTCGGGTGCTGCCCGTGGTCGACCTTGCTTTGAGCACTGAGCTCCTCTGTCAACCTTGTTTGCAAACAATAAAATGGAGTTGGACCCAGCCAGAAAGCGTGACTGTCTTCTTGAGGCAAATTGGACTAGCCTCCAGGGGACGAAACTAGCAATTTATGCCAGACAGGTGCTGCGGGTGCTTCTTTGTGCTCTCCTATGGGGCTGAATTCTCCCTACTGCCCATATCCCCTCCCACTGGAGCACCCCTGCAGGAACTAGGCTCCTCAGGACGGGGTTCTCCCCACCTTAGCACCACACAGACACTCACCCCCACTACCAGAGCACCCCTGGAGGGACTGGGCACTCAGCTCTCACACGCTGACCCCTCCTACGTCCCTGGACTCAGCACACTGGTTAACAGCAACGCCCCACTGCACCCCCATGTGCCTTTGGGCTCCGTGGGCAGAATTAAACAGCACTTTACGCTGCCATCCTCATAAACCCCCAGCTTCAGCACCTCCCGATCCCAACTCTCACCCCATAATCATTCCCGGGGAAACCACACGATGAGCAAACCCCACGAGATTTTGGTCACGCCAGGGATCTGCCGCTTGGGGACGAGAAGCGTTGCTGCAGAGCGAATGGGGAAGCCAAAACAACTCCGCTTGAGGAAGAGAGGAAGAGACAGAAGCAACCAGCTTCACAATGAAGGTGATTTATTTCGGAGCAGTGAAAACAGTGACACTATTAAATCGAAATTGAAACCGATTACAAATGTTATAACAGTTTATATAGGGTAGGGTCTGGAGGCTCTTCTTCGAGAGGTAGTTAGCGATGAGCAGGGGGAGAGAGAAAGAGAGAGAGAGACCTCACCTATCGGTGGAGCTTGCCCGGATCGGGGTTCCCAAACGGTGATAGGAGCCGGGGGTCCGGAGGGCAGCAGACGAGCAGAGCAGAGCCCCCAGCACGATCAGACAGGAGATGAAGACGTCTCAGTGGAACGGATGTTGTTTAAATCCAGGTATCAGAACAATTTTTCTTGGGAAGGGTAGGAGGTTTCATAGGGACAGGACAATCATTTGAAGAGAAACGGGCGAGACAACAGAGACTGATCACACCTGGCTATGGGGGATGTTCCTTGAATGAGCTCACAATGCAACTAGGCAGTTGCAGTATTTTGGCTGTCAATAGGCTCGTTAGTAGAATTGGTCTGATAATGACTAATTTGGGTGGGAACAGGCCTGGGTTCTTTAGCATCTGGAGCAGAGAATTCCCTTCAGGCCGTGTTTCTCTGCTTTCGATATCCCAGAATTCAATGAGGTTCCTGCCTTGGAAGAGCAGGTCTCCATCCTGTATGCTAATGAGATGTCCCTCCGTCCTAACTTCAATGCCGAGGCTGGGGGGTTTCCTTAATTAGTTTATGAGCCCGTTTTCATTTTCCATCTTTATCTATTCGGTCCGCCAAAGGGCTAAGCTGGCCCACAATGGAAGAGGGACCTACCCATTTCGATTCCAAAGTATGCTCTCTTTTACCCAGTTTGACATACGGGAGCATGTCTCCGGGCCCGGAGAGCCTGGAGTTACCAGCTTTCTGTTTACGGAGGGTATCGTTTCTCTTATTAATGGCCTCGTTAGCTCGGTATTGCAGGGTCAATTTGTCCTCTTGTAATGGTTTGAGCCATTGAAAATGATCATGCTGCTGTGTTGCTACAGCAGTTTCTCCTGATCCTAAACTTATCTGTGTGGGGTCTACCATCAGCCTCTTCGACTGTCCAAACAGGGTTGGAAACGGCTGTATGTTTGTTCTCCGATGGTTGCTACTACGGATAGCTGCCAGGATGAAAGGTAGCGTATCTGGTCTATTTTTGACAGTGTTGCTCACAACTTTCCTTAAGTTTTCCAGACCTTTCCACCGTGCTACCTCCCTCAGTCTCCTTAATGTTCCTTCCACTCCCTTGTGCGTGAATTGATGGGCAACATTAACCGACCCCCGCACACACCCCGCCCACACCTCCACCCCGCTCCCACACCCTCCTCCTGCGCACACCCCACCCACACCTCCACCCCGCTCCCACACCCTCCTCCTGCGCACACCCCGCCCACACCTCCACCCCACTCCCACACCCTCCTACTGCCCAGAGCCTGCCCACACCTCCTCCCCAAAGAGCAACACATTTTCCTGCCACACACAGACCTGTTTCCTGCCCCCTAGCAGGGGCCTGCCTCCCACACCCTCCTCCTGCGCACACCCCGCCCACACCTCCACCCCGCTCCCACACCCTCCTCCTGCGCACACCCCACCCACACCTCCACCCCGCTCCCACACCCTCCTCCTGCGCACACCCCGCCCACACCTCCACCCCGCTCCCACACCCTCCTCCTGCGCACACCCCACCCACACCTCCACCCTGCTCCCACACCCTCCTCCTGCGCACACCCCACCCACACCTCCACCCTGCTCCCACACCCTCCTCCTGCGCACACCCCACCCACACCTCCACCCTGCTCCCACACCCTCCTCCTGCGCACACCCCACCCACACCTCCACCCTGCTCCCACACCCTCCTCCTGCGCACACCCCACCCACACCTCCACCCTGCTCCCACACCCTCCTCCTGCGCACACCCCACCCACACCTCCACCCCGCTCCCACACCCTCCTCCTGCCCCCACCCCGCCCAACGCAGCCACCTCACTCCCACACTCTCCTCCTGCCCAGAGCCTGCCCACACCTCCACCCCGCTCCCACACCCTCCTCCTGCGCACACCCCGCCCACACCTCCACCCCACTCCCACACCCTCCTACTGCCCAGAGCCTGCCCACACCTCCTCCCCAAAGAGCAACACATTTTCCTGCCACACACAGACCTGTTTCCTGCCCCCTAGCAGGGGCCTGC